CTGCTCACCAAATGCAAGGGGTAAACATCAGATGGAGGCACACCCACGTCTAAGGGCTGTAATGGCCTGAAATTGCCCGGTGTCCAATGCCAGGTTACCTATGGCTGGCACTACGTGACCCCTTACCTCGGCTCCCACATTTGCTCTCCAGGGCCAGTGCTGGCACTTGCCTTTACCCTGGTGACAGAAACGGCATTTAAGCCACCAGATGTCATTCCCTCTCACTCCACTGCTGTTGGCACCCAGCCTTGCCCAACACGCCACACATGAAGAGCCATCTCCTTCCAGCCCTACAAGCATGCAGGCAGACCAACAGGCAGCTCAAGAGCACCGGGCAACAGAGATTTGGGGGGTTTCCTCTCCTTTGGGCAGAAATTGTGGCACAAAGGAAAACCCAGTGGCAGTTAAGGGAAGGGCAAGGTGGTGACGCCTACGTGCTGGCTGATGCAACAGTTTAGTGCCTAATTCTCAGTGTGATCGAGGTCTGAGTCCCACAGAAAGCAAATGCCACTTGGCCACATGAATTGGCAACGGTTATATCAATTAGAGCATCAAAGTCTCTTCCCTAGGTATAGCACAGACATTACTTCAACTTCAGTGGTTGCTGTGAAGACTAGTTGAAAGAGCAGAGGGTGCTCAGACAGCCTGCCAAGAGCAGACGTGCCCCAACAGTAGTTACACTCATTTTGCTTTGCACAGTTCCCTTTTATACCTGTGTTTGGGAATGATCCTCTCCAGGACTGCTTTGACAGCTGGCTGAGCTGTCCTTCCAGTGTAGCCCAGGTTTCTTGCTGGACAGTAGGGGGAAACCTGCCAAAGACACAAATTTTACCACCATATTTGTATTGTTTTTGTCTTAAATAAAGTTTGCAATTAAAGAACGAGAGTAGAAAGTTAAAAAGTCATCTGGATACAGTCATACCTGAAGAGCTGACCTACAGTAATGAAGTTTATGGCCTCTCACATGTGTGTGCACACTGTGCCAAACACGTTGACATTTTCAGCGGTGGACCTGAACTGCTTCCGCTCTTTGGCTGGAGGTAGAGAAGCAGCTTTCGAGTTCCAGGAAACTTTCTGGAAAACCAGCCCTCTTTAGAGAGCTTTCAGGCCTTAAAAGCAGAGGCAGTCCAAACAACCAGCAACTTTGAAACTTTGGGTAAGTTCTGGGAGATGAAGAAAACAGATGACTTGCAAGAGGGCAGTCCATCAGAACGGGAAGGAAATGAGAAATGTAACCACCTGCAGGCAACAAGGACAGCAACAGTCCTGCAGTCTCCCAAGGCCAGGCCAAGGGCTCTCCTAGGATCAGGCAAGGCAACTAATGGCTAACGGCCTTGAACCAAAACTAGCACAGACAGACTTAGACCTGCCGGAAGAAAAAGTAGAGAGGTGACTTGCACCTCAAGGGAGTCAGGAGAGCTCTTGATTATTTATGCCTGTGGGAATTCTGTATAAGTAGCAATCTTGGGACAGAAGAAAAGTATTCCTGAGCCAGGATATTACCATGTCAAGCTATAACATGACAAGCATATTTATAGCTGAATTATTAACTCCAAAACCCAAGTATTAGTTCCAAAACCCACAAAGGTTCCCACAGCAAACTTCGGTTCTTCTACATAGGGATTAAAAGCAGTGTAAGAACAATAGCAACACACTAGAGAGAGAGGACAGTTCACTGCACGTGGACTTCAGAAAAGGAAAGCCAGAGAGAGAGGCCAACTTTCCTTCCCTCTCAGTGTCTCACCTGCTTGTAATGAAATTTGTTGTATTCAGTCAAGAACAGAGGGGAACGATGCACTGAAGTTCATTAAGGAACTCCCATAGGGACCAGCAACAAGGGACTGAACTGAGACAAATCCAGCTCTTGTCACCTGGGTACCATAACTCTGGACTGCTGCTGCTCTTGCTTTCTGTACCTTTTTGCAATGAGTTTCCAGGGCAGAGGAAAAGAAAGAGGAAAACCACCCTTCGAATAATTTCAGACACATTGGGAAAGTCCAGTGATAGTTCTCTAAGAAAGCAGCATCAAACTTGAGCTACTCCAACTTCATTTTCACAGCCTATCCTCGCCCTAACCGGATTCTCTATCCCCAGTGCGAACGCGTTTCCTTTCCCACCCACACACATTGACCTTTAAATTCTGTGCAGTGAATCGGCCGTGGGAAAAGATGAGAATCCAGAACAAGGATGAAAACCCACCATTACCTGTGCGAGTGAGTTAGGGGCATTTAACCTGATCCACTACAGCCCTTTGCCTCCTGACACGGGCATACACCATGGCTCAGCACACCAAGGGAAAACACAACCGCTGCAGCAGTGACAGCTGTAACACCAATGAGGGCTTAAATTCCCCCAGCCCAAGGGTCTGCAGGGTAATGGCACGTGCCCGTGGGGAGAACTACCTCGCACTACAGCTCTCATGGGCGTGCGTTAGCTGACAAGGATAGGGCCTGCACGTGCGAGAACACGGCTTCATGCAAAGCCACAGCTTGCCGTCTTTCACAGGGATAATGGATTTATTCCCATCAAGTCACTGAACCCATATTTGCAGCTTCACACTTAAACCAGGACTTTTTTTAAAAAAAACCCAAAAACTTTCCTGGGCCGCCATCATGATCTACTTGGCCTAAAATCTACTCCGAGTGTCCTAGATAGATTGAGAGCACGGGGTTCCCTGTGGCTGTGGGATAGGGATTAGAGATTTTGAAAGGTAATATCCTGCTCTGAGCCTTTCAGCCAATATAATCATGACACTGATTTCCTTTCCTTGGCATGTACCTCGTGCTGTTTATGAAACATATGTGTTTTGGGAAATAAGTCTGAAAAGGAGACAAATTTTTCTTTCATGTGACTGATGATCATACGAATTCTTGTAACCAAATATTAAGTGGATTAAATATAGAAACTAAGATTTACAGCTTTCCTCCAGAGAGTAAAAAATGCCTTTTTTGTGTTCCCAGGATACGTTGAATGTGCTTTACACCTCGTTTTAACAGCATGCTTGAGTTCAAGTAAATCCATGCCGCACGTCGGTTCCCTCTCAAAGGCCTTTAGCTCCCTCTGCAGCCCTTCGGAGGCACGTGAGAGATTTAACAGAATGATGGGAAAATTAATTGGCAAACGATTGAGTAATGCACTTGCTGGGACCAAGCTGAAAAAGAGTCGAAATTCAGAGCCACCCTCGGTCTTCTCTTCTTTCCTCTCTCACGGTCTTTTTTTTCCCCCTCAAACTTGGAATAAGCATCGTTTTTGTCTGATCTTTTAAAAACTGAGATTGATTAAGGCAAGATTTTAAATCCAAGCCTTTGGTGAAGCCAGTGCCTGATTATAAGCCAATCCTCAAATGCTGTGCTGTGCTCAGAGACAGCCCTGAGGCTGACACAGATGCCACGAAAGTTTTTGAGGGCACCCTGCTCTGCCTCCCCATCCTGGGCATGGGACAGTCTTCCCTCAGGTGGGACATCCCATGCAGCTGCTCTGGAGAGGCCTCGCAGGCACGTTGAGTCCCCTGCGCCTCGAAGGTGCGGTGAATCTCAAGGAACACAGCCCCACCATGGCCCATCCGCCTCTCCGTCTGCCATAGCTGCCCCTCGGGACAGCCCAACCCAGGGAATGGTTTGCTGAAGTCAAGCTTGGTGGGAGCATCCTCTCAGGACCATGAAATAGCCCCGCGCATCCTTGGCTGAGATTTACCGAGTTATCCCAAACTTCTGGCACCAGAGGTCTCCAAGGGACCGTGGGGTTGGTAGTGACAGTGCTCACGCATACCTGCAGGCATCTGACATGTCTGTGAGTGCGGTGCCACGAAGGAGAGATGCAGCTTGTCTCCTTTTTTGAGATATAAAAACTCATCCCACAGTGGGTACTTGCAAATAATCTTGAAGCTTGTTTGTGCATTCAGACCATGCAAGCCGAGACGCCTCTGCTTCAGCACTGGTCCCATAACACACACACAGGGATCCTTCTTGTTTCGGTAGCAGAGCCTTAACTTCTCTGAAGGTATCTGGGACTGAGCAGCAGCAGAAATTCCCCTCATTGCAGAGGGCAGCTGAGGGCAGGGTTAAAGAGTGGCTGTCACCATCATTCCCCAAAACCCGCTGTCTCCATGCCCAGAAACTGTGGCACGTGGTCACGTGCACAAATCTCTTCTTTCCGCTGCTGTATATTCATGTTTTATACTTAAGGCTGTCAATGCCCAGGCTAACAGACACGACTGTGTTTCTAAGCAAGTTTCGAGAGGGTTTGGAGTGCTGGGCAGCTTACCCAGCTCCCACACTGGCATGGTCAATCTTGGCAGGTACCTGTGAGGGGACTGGGCAGGTACAGGGTGCATCTGCAGAAGGGCTGTGCCAAGGCGGGCTGGTGACCCTGTTATGAGCAGCATAGATGTGGCCAGGAATGGTTGGCTTGTTTGAGGACTGCAGCCCAGGGGGATGACTTGGGTGCAGCCCCAGCTGCAAGGAGTGACCACACTGTGTTTTGGAAGTGAATCGAGCACAGCCCTGACCGCTATTGAAATCGTTGCATCCCTGTGCGATTCCCACGGCCAGAGAGGTGTCAGCCCAGACCAAATGAAGCTGCTGGAGGACAGGAACCAGCAATGCTTGTTTTCACCATCATCTTGGGACCGCTTTTAGTACTCTCTCCCTTTTGGTAATCCAGAAACATCACCTGTTTTTTTTCCAACAAAAAAGAGGTGACAGAGCACCTATAGATGACTGTAAATAGGCACCTCCAGGTGCGTTTCTAATCAATGATACTCAAAATGTTAGACCCAGCGTTGCATCTAACTAACAGCAATCAGTGTCAGGGCAGGCAGGGCTGGAGACAGAATATGCAGCTCTGGGATAGGGATGTGTTTTCTCAGCTGGAGAATTAGAGTGGACACCACTTGCTGGTGGGTGTAGTAACGTAGGGAACAGATACACAGAAAGGCAATTTGAGCTTTTGAGGACCAGAAAACGGAAAAGAAATATTCGGTGCATTTCGGATCTCTATTTTCTCATCTACAAAAGTTTTAAAGAAAAGGGGAAATAGGAGAAATTTAAGAGACAGGAAAACAAGAGACAACACAAATAGAAGATACAATCACTTCTCAGGCTTTACTCACTCATTTGGAGTTTTCTCCTCCAGTTCTGACACTTATTTAACGCCGTGGAGTGAAAACTGTTGGCTCGCTGTAGTGCTGAGCAGAAACGCAAAAGACACATGGTCAGATGATGCAGCAAAAGCCAGAGAGCCAAAATGGGGGGAGAGGGGGGAAGAAAGGGGGGAAAAAAACCCACACACCCCAAACCCAATCGGCGGGGGTTCAGTTTTCTAACCCGTCCCCCGCCATCCCCGCCCGTGTCCCCGCGGCGGCGGCCGGGGGAGGGCAGCGCGCGGC